TACTACTACTAACTACCTACCTCTCTCTCTCTCTCTCTCTCTCTCTCTCTCTCTCTCTCTCTCTCTCTCTCTCTCTCTCACTGCTTTAACGATTCGAAAGGGCAAAATATCGATCGGAAGACGCCAGAAAAGACTACCCGATCTTAAATTCTATCTTTACAACCCCTTCAAATCACTTCAATAATTTCCTCGACCATTCGTAACAATCAACAGTTGTTACTTACATCTACTTAACCCTTGACAGACACGAACCCTTAACGAAAACGAAACTTGGACGACAACAATACGTGTATTATACGCATTTTTTTTTTTTTGGATATTCTGTTCCAACCGAACCTGACTATTCCTCTTCACTTACAATAGAGGATTTCGGGGAGATTGGCCGGCAAACCGAGGTCCACGGCCGGTTGATCCAGAGGGTGCATCGTCTCGTGGCGAGGAGCGGCGTCGAAGGTGGCAACGTTCGCAACGTTTCCGCCGTTACTACCGTTCCGCCGCCGCACGTTTTGAGACTCCGGGCTATCGTGCGGCGGTGTCAACACGTCTTGATGAGCGCGCCGATACATCCCTTCCAAAGGTAGAGGCTCGCGGCCAAGCATTTCCACACTTATCATAGTCATGCTTGCGCCTTTCCAAACTTTACGCTCGTCCCATTTAATTTTCAATCGTTACAATTTTTGCAACATCGTTCCATCCGAGTTACGATACTCGAACTCGAATTATTAACGTTCGCGTGGAATTAATAGTTTCGAATTTTTACTCGTTCCCTTTTTTCTTGCTCCTCTTCTTTTCGTGTATTTTCATCTTAGAATTATTGGAAGACAATTTTCTTCAAACCTTGTACCAACTGGCTAACCTTATCGAAAACATCGTCGATACCAACCACGTTGATCCACGTTAATCCTTGAATCGATCAATCCACTTTCACTTTCTTGAGAAAAGTAATCACTTCCGATTCCCCCTTTCCACCCGACGAAGAATTACGCTCGAAGAAACACGATCGATCGATTTAATTCTAACGTCAACCTTGCCATATTTATCTCGATATCCCACACCACGAGGATTTTATCCAACGGAAGTATCAAAGTATGAAATTCTTTGTCGAGACAGTAGTTGTCTCGTTATCCGTGCAATTCTTATCGGTCCATTGAACTATCGTTTATCACCGATAATAATAATAAAAAGCGTCGAATCGCGAAGCGAAGGGAACGATCGATGCGACGGGCACGAGGGTACGCGGACGACTGTTCGAACGGTATTGCAGCTGCTCGTGCGCACGTGACACTCGTGGGTGTGGTGGTCCCGTGGTGGGGCACGGGCCACGGCTATTGGCCGCGACCCGCACCCACGCTTCACACGCTCTGTCGCCGATTGGCGAGGAGATGGACCGCCCCCAATATGGCGATCGACGCACCGCGAAGCCAACGACGCTTTTCTCGCCTCCTGCTTGCCGCCAGGGCGCCGATGATGCGCCGTTGACACCGCGATGATGCGCCGCGAGGACGAGAGTGAACCTTCTGGAAGGGAACTCGCCTCCACGAAAGGATATGGAAGGAACGAAAGGATCGGTGTTGCAGCAAGCGACGACGAGCGATGAGAACGAAAGGAAGATTTCTTTCTTCCTTTTTTTTTTTTTTTTTTTTTCCTTCAAAACGAGTTAGACGATCGGTCGAAGGTTTCTACCTTCGAAAGAACGAAAGGAGAATATTACCCGCACGTATCGTAATCTCGGGATAGTCGTTATATCGCGTTTATTTTCGCATTCCAATTTCTATTTCCCCGAGCTTTCGATGCTCCAAGGCGTTTTTCAGATTCTCCTCGTTCGATCCGCGGATTAATCAAAGATAACTCGGCGGGCTCCGTCGAATCGCGAGAAAGGAAACGACAAAGAACAACGCCCTCGGTTTTTTGCGGCGGCATTTTCCGCGGACGATCATCATCATCCACCATACCTCTCGTATCCATTTCCAGCTCGGAACGTTGGCCGCGCTCTCTATTCATCGGAGTCGTCACGTAAAAGAATTCGCCGGGCCCTCTCCCTCTCTCTCTCTCTCTCCTCTTTCCTTTGCCAACATCTCGAGAGCTGTGCCGATTGCGAAAGCCAAGCGCCGCGGAAAGGCAAAGAAGAAAGTGGGTGGAGTGGGCGAGGGACGAGAAGAAGAGAGGAGGAAAAAAAAAAAAGAAAAAAAAAGAGAGAGAAGAAAGGAAAAAAGGGGGGAGGAAGAGCGGGGAGCGAGCAGGGAGGGGACAAAAGGATTCGAGCGAAATTAAGAACGGGCAAGCCGTGGGGGGAGAGGGCGAGGGTCGCCATTTTATAATCTTAGTCGGGATCAGTCGTGTATACTCTTTTCCTCGTCTCCCTGGGTGGTGAGAGCGCCCATCCACACCGAATAACTCGGCAAGGGTATATAAGGTCGGCGTATATATAAGTAGACGCGTAGAATACGTCTACCATCAAACGGCACACTTTCAATACGCGCCTCTTTGTTTTCCACCTCGGATGCCTTTTTCCTTTTGTCCTTCTACGTACTTTAGATCTCCTCCCCCTTTCTTTCCCGACGAAAAACCTTCCCCCTTCTTTCTTACGCGGGAGAGATCTTCGAACGAGATCTCGGATTCGAAGAAACGATATTTCGCGATGTTATTTATTTTTGTTCGAAAAGGTAAGGGAGGGGAAACGAAGGGGGAATAGGGAAGAAATTTCATTATTCACACATAGGGTACACGCTTGTTTTCATTTGTATTAAAAACACCGGTGCGAAACACCGGAGGAATAAAGTTCGTTCGTTTATTATTTGCAAATTTTCGGTCGACGCGATACGGGGAGCTAGGAATAATCAAGAATATTCGCATGCGTTTTTCGCGTTTTTAATTTGATTCGTTAACGGGATAGAACACGCGTACGATAGACGGTGGATGAAAGCCCGGGCAAAAAAGTGCAATGGCGCGTGACTAACGAGCGATATTTACCGCTGAAAAAGTGCGCCATACCGTGCGGCTGGCAAATCGTCGTACCAGTTTCGTTTCCATCCGTTTCTAAACCGGAGAAAGTGACGTCCTCGCATATAAATGATTTTATGGGCACGACACGGGCGTCGTGCATGCAAAGTGTCGAACCATCTGTTGCCCTCGTCCCCCATCCACGTCAGGTAGAAAATTTTACATTCTTCGTGGTTAGTCCCCCTCCTCCCCTATGTCGGAATCGTTTCGCGATTATGGTTTCGGGGGGAGATTGTAAACGCGTCGATGACTTCTTCTCATAGTTTTCATATTTTCGATTCGAAAATCCGCCGATGAATTTTCCCTGAATTTTATACCATCTTTTTCACCTTTTCCACGCTTCGTCCGCGCTTCCAAGGGACAAAGTGTCAGAAACCAAACCGAGAATTCAGCGACGCCGTCGATACATCCGATACGAGTCCCCATTCGCGTTTCCATCGCCAAGATATCCATTATGAGGGGGTGTCTCTGCGATTGCGCGACCCCGTGATTTCCGTGGGCGTCCTCATCCTCCTCCTCGGGCTTCGATCACGCGAGCCCACCCTTCGTCGGCTCCGTTGCACATGTCGACACGCCTCCAGGAGTCGTCCGTCACCGTAAAAACCGTCCACCACGAGGGTTGGTATCGCGGTGGGTCTCCTAGCCAAGGGTTGGAGCTTTCCTTCCTGAGACTAACCACCACCAGGAGGTGGGGTGGAAAAAAAGGGGGTTGGGAGGGGTTGCAACCGGATGGAACTCTCCTCCCTTCCCTCCCCCAGCACACTTGACCCGACAAACGAGGACATTCCTCTTTTTCATCTCGCTTCCTTCGAGAAAGGATCTCGTAAATATCAGCCCCGCTGGCTTCTGACGGCTAAAGGTCAGAGGATGGGAAGTCGGATCATTATCGGCCCTGTTCTCCCGCTTATCCTCATCTCCCGAAGGGGACGATGATTCTTTTTCTCTCTTTTCCAATATTTTCTTCTTTTCTCTCCGCTTTTTTCCCCCCACTTATTTTTCCGGGGCAACCTCGCGTCCAGGTGTTTTAGAATACGACCGATTTCGAAGATAAATCCACGGGATAAGGATAGCAAAGCGAG